TGCAACGTTTTTTTTAGAGAATCTTCCATTTATTCTGCTAGGTACGTCGGAACTAGTTATTTAATAATGACGAGTTCTCCGCGGGCCTCATCGACTCCGATCGAATTTGGTATGTTTCATTAGCACCCCAATTAATGTTTGTGGTTAGTTGGTTATGTCATTGTTAAAACGAATCTGCAACTTGTGAATAACCTTCAAAGGTAGTCAATATGAATCCGATGAAGAAAGTGAACATGATTTGGAAACGGCACCGTTTATTTTGAATAGAGGCGTAGGTCGGGATGATAGCATGTCATGTATGTTGATTTTTTATCGTTTCTCTGTTTTAATCAATCATCTTATCTATAATAAGGGGGATAATTCAATATACTACTTTAGTTCCCAATACGCATAGTAGTAAGCATGGATCTTGGTTAATTTTCAAAACACGACTTAGATATTACGTGCCAGTTTTTCGTTGGCTACCGGCCTATTCATTTGAGACATTTTGGGGCGACTTTGTGGCCGGCATAACTGTAACCGCTATTCTCTTGCCTTCGTGCATATCATTTTCTGTTCTTGCGAAATTACCACCGGTTCATGGATTATACTCTATTTTAATACCGGGAGCTGTATATGTTTTCCTTGGAACCTCGAGGTAAGTTTTTATCAAACCTCTAAATTGTATCAAACATGATCTCATTAATACGTTCTCTACATCAATTTTAAATCCTACTAGACAATTGGTCATGGGTCCCGAGGCCCTAGTCTCTATGCTTATAGGTTCCTCCGTGGCACAACAACAAAAGTACACTGGTCATGAGGGAGATGTTGATACGGCCATTGCTATCGCCGGATTAATTACATTCTTTGTAGGAATCTTGACATTCATACTTGGTATATTTCGACTAGGATTCTTGGATTCGGTTTTGTCGCGAGCATTACTGCGAGGATTTATTTCTGCCGTGGCGATTGTCATTATAATAGAACAATTCTTAATTATGCTTGGGTTAACCGAAATTGCCACTCTAGATGGCATTGGTCATGCATCATCAACACTTGAGAAATTCATTTACATAATCACCCACATTCACCAGGCGCATGGACTTACGGCTATTGTGGCATTTTCGAGTCTGACTTTCCTTTTGGTTTTCAGAGCTTTAAAATTAAAACTGTCGAAACATTACCCTCAAGCTCAATTCATACCTGAGATCCTTATCTGCGTCATTGTCTTCACTATCCTTTGCTCATTCTTCAGATGGTACGAAGGTGGCGTAAGCATTCTCGGACAAATAAAGGGAGGTGGATTTCCTTCGTTTCGAATTCCCAATCCTCCTGCCGCAGCACACTACAAGGACTGTTTCGAGACTGCTGTCTTAATATCGGTCGTTGGATTTGTGGAATCAATTGTAATCACAAAGACCTATGCAACAAAATACAATTATTCCGTTAGCGCCAATCGTGAATTAGTTGCTCTGGGTGCGGCTAATCTAATTGGCAGTCTCTTTCAATGTTTTCCCGCTTACGGTGGTATGGCTAGGAGTAGCATAAATGATAGAGCAGGCGCCAAAACCCAACTGTCGGGTTTAATCAGTTGTTCTTTTGTTTTGTTATGCTTGTTCTTCCTCCTCCAGCTATTCCATTATTTGCCAAAGCCAGTTCTAGCAGCCGTTGTTTGCGTGGCAGCGCTGACACTATTGCACGAACTCCCTCATGATTTGTATTTTATGTATAAAATAAGAGCGTGGAATGATTATGCTTTGCTTTTTTTGACTTTCTTCACCACGATTTTTGTATCAACTGAATATGGAACTTTGATTTCCGTGGCATTATCCCTAGTGCTCGTGGTCAAACATTCCACATATCCGCGAATTACCATACTGGTAGATTAACGCTCATAACTTCTTAAGGGTACACAATAATTTGCAATTGACTAATCCATTGCATTAAATATAGGGCCGGGTTGGAAATACCAATGAATTTAAGCCTATCAAAGATTTTCCTGGTGAGGCTGAGCACATAGCGGGTGTACTTGTGGTTAGAATTGCAGAGCCTCTGTACTTTGCTAATACCGGACAGCTCAAGGACCGATTAAGGAGGTTGGAAGAATTTGGTGATATGCGCGTACATCCCTCCGAAGATGCTAGAATGTTACCAATTGAAAATGTAATATTTGATATCGAGACAATGGAAGATTTGGATGCTAGGTATTCCAAATTTAAGTAAATTTTCATGTGTACATGTACGAGTTGTACGTGAAAATTAACCGAACATTTTTACATTTTAGTGCCGCGCAAATTCTTTGTGAAATTGTTGAATCCTATCACCAGCGTGGTGTCAACGTGTTCTTTGTAAAATTACATGCAAATCAAAAGAAGATGTTTGTTCGCGCGGGTTTGTGGGATAAAGTTGGGGAAGATCATTTCTTCCGGTATGTGAAAAAGTTCTATCCTGCCTGCATAACCACGAATTCAAAATTTAACCACTAACCTTTAAACACAATCTTGAAATAGACGTATTTCTGACGCGTTAGAGTATGTTAACCGTGGGGGACTTCATATTAATTAATTGATTAATTTACCACTTAAGCAATTTTCTTTACTTGATCTAGTCTCATCTTGGATTATTGATATAGATTATCGATAAACACATATAGCTGAGAAAATATTTGGAACTAACTTTATTTTATTTATTGAGAAAAAATGTAAATACCGTGGTATCTCCTTAAAAGTCCAATCGTCTATCTGAAAATATGTGTAGTCATGAAAATATCAAATTTCGCTACGAATCATTTGACTCCAATTACATGAATCGCTTTATTTATAAAAAGTACTAACCGAAAAAGGGATTGGACATTTCTATAATATCAAAAGGTCAATATTATCTATGTCAGGTAGGTACTCATACATGTTCGGTGAGTGTGTTTCAACATCACGAAAGATGTTTTAAACAACTCGGTGTGAGAGGAACTTAAGACCTGGTTATAAATGCAGAACATTAAAACTATTACTCGACGTCTTGTATATACTGTATTTTGTTTACTAGTTTGGTAAGTTCTATATTTAAAAAACTAACATAGCCTTTCTTTATTATCATTAATATTAAAATTCAGAATCTATAATAAATAACAATTTAAATATTAAAAATTACAGTTATCTATTTATCTTTTTTTTTAAGTAGATAAACATCATTGCTTTATTATAATTATAAAATTGAAAAATTTATACATGAAGAAAGTAACAACATCTCTCACATGATCAATTGATCAGTGAGTTTAATGCTAGCTTGCCTATGGTAAATTATTTAGGTTGCAAAGGAAAATAAATATTAAAACCAATACATTATCAAAGATAATGTCAAGTAGCTATGAATATCTACTCAGATTTATGTGTAAAAAGATTATAAGAAGTAAAAAAGAAATAAAATACTAAGCAAAGAAATAGATGCAAAAAAATTAATTGTAAAGTTAAAGATGTTCCAAATAAGCATATTACACTGGTAGTTCCATTTAACTAAAGTATGGTGTGTGTGTACTTATTATAAATAGTCAAACTATTGTTCAAAATATACAGTAGTATTGATGATATATTTTTTTAATAGTTAATTTGTTATAATGATTGTATAGTTGTTTTGTTAATATGATTAGTAATTGGTTTGTTTGTTAATAGTATAATTGGTTTATTTGTTGGTAATGTAATTTTGTTTTGATAGTTATTGCCAAAAAAAAATTTGTTTATGTTGATCCATATATGATATTTTGATAATACATTTTTGTTTAAATAATTAATAGTGTTTGATTGGTTGGTTTTGAGATATTAATCAATTGACAAGAATAAACTAATTGTGGTTTTTTTGTAAAAATTTTTTTGAAAAAAAGTTTTATGATTTTGTAGTACAACAAATTATGCTAGGTAATAGTAAAAAGTAAACAATAAATATATTGTTGGTTCTCCAAGTTAACAATATAAATATTTTTAATGTGTGGTTTGATTTTTTGATTTGCAAAGAAGATCTCCAAGAAAAGAATATAGTTATTTAATAAGAAATGTGTATTTGTAAGAAATAAAAATAAGAAGAACTCCAAGGAAGATTTATAAAAAAGTAATTGTCACATGCTTTTTCTTATACAATCCATAGAAAAAGCAAGGGTTCCAAACTTGCTTTTTTTTGATTACTGGTCTTATCATAATGCACTAGTATACTTCTTTAATTTTCTTGAGATTTTTGTAGTAAAGATAAAGGATATATGAAGAATTTTGAAAAGTTAAAAGACAAGAAAAATATTTGTTTTTTTAATTTTAAAAAATAATTACTAAAAAAGAAAAATTTTAAGAAAAAAGTTGTATACAGGAAAGAGTTTTTTTATCAAGTTACTCCAGTTATCTATTTATCTTATTAAATTATATATACTATTTGTTAAAATTATTTGTTTACAACACATTATATATAATATATATATAGTGTATAACAAAACTTTTTGAAATTTTTTATTTATTCATTATTCAAAAACTATTGTATAGAAATTAATAAAAAAATATATCAAAATAAAACTAAAAATCTAGAAATTTTATTAATATAAAATATATAATTAATTATTTTACTTTTTTTTTTAATTAATATTTCATATCTTTCTTTTATTGAATCTATAAAATTATTTAAAACCTTATTTGGAATTTTATTCTATTCTTCTATTATAAATTATTTTAATTCTAAAATATTTTTAATTCTATATTTCTTTTAACAATAGCCCAAAGATTTTCAATATAATTTAAGTCTGAACTATTAAAAGGCCAATCTATAATTTGAAAAAAATTTTCATTAACAAATGTTTTAGTAATTTTGCTTATATGTTTTGGATTATTATTATGTTGAACATAAAAATTATTTTCAAGCAATTCAATAATTTCTAATTTATGTTTTTATAAAATATTAACATAAAATTTTGCATTTATAATTCTTTAAAACAAAAAAAAGAAGTTTTTCCTTTTATACAAAATCCTTTCTATACAGAAATTTTAATATAATTTTTAGGTATTCTTCTGACTGATCTTGTATTTTTATATCATTGAATAATTGTATTTTCAAATAATTGAAATGCCATTTCATCAGAAAATAAAGTTTTTTTCCAATTATAATTAAGATATTTTTTTGCTTAAATAATATAAGTTTTTTTATAAGTAATAATAAGCATAAGAGTTTCTAAAGGTAGATTATTTTTATAACTCAAGCTTGTTAGATACCTTGAAATTGTTATATGAGATACTTTAGTATTTATATTTAACAATTTAATTGCTAAAATTCTTATAGAAAGTCTTGAATTATAGTATAAATATTGATCAATTATTTTTAATTCATGTACAATAATCTTTTTAGGCCAACCTCCACTAGATTTTCTTGAATTATTTCTATTGAAATTTAATTTTTTAAGATTATAATAAATAGTTTGATATAGTTATACCAGTTCTAAAATATATTTTATTTGCAGAAGTAATTCTATTTTTCTACAAATGTAATATAGTTTGATGTTATATATGTTTTTCAAAAAATAATATTGTAAGGATAAGTTTATAAAAAAAATAAAACAGACCTGTGGATCCATAGTGCAGTGGTTAGCACTCTACAGGTCAAATCACAAGATATCGGTTCAACTTCATGTGAAGGCAATTGAACAAGGCCACATGGTATCTGGCACCATAACCTGTTATGTGCTGTTTCTCATAAGAAGCCATTCCACACGCTGATCCAGCAGACGTTGAGATTGTGATTTCCAGTTAAGGTGCTACGATGTGTTGATCATCTGGTTGGTGTTATAATGATCAATGTAATGTTTGATGCATCCCCTAGGTTCAAACAGGTCGTTTCCCTCCCCTATAGTCCACAAGACTATAAAAGAAAGCTTGCTAACCCGATTAGGCAACTTTGAAGAGGATCACTCTACCGGTAAGCAGCTCTCGAACTGTATAAGGACAATATGGTGAGACAGGGTATGTAGGAGTTGCGTCCTGCTTGGTATTTATACCCCTAGGCTTGGCAGCCTATGCCAACCAGCCTGTAACGGAATGTCTACTAGGAGATTAAGGGTTATTCCTTAAGGAGTCACGCCCATTTGGCTATATGGCCCCTGGATTTGGTAGCGTCCAACCGGCGGCAAACCGGAGCATTTGCTAGGGAGTACATACCTGCATCAATCGGTCTGAGCTGCAGCTGGGGTCAGGTGGTGGTAGGTAAGACGTGATAAGAACCCTAATGATGGTGGCAAGTAACAAAATGCCCTCCGAATAGACTACGCTTGGATTGCGAACCCACCTCCGGGGTGTTAGTTAGTAATCAGGTTAGAATTAAAGGTGGTGCTAGGGTTAGAATAGCTAATATAGTTAGTCAGACTCTTCATGTAATGATTGTAACTTCAATGCTAAATTAATAAAGTTTGCATGTAATGCACTTTGCCTCTAAAAAAAAAATAAATAAATAAATAAACAAATCTTTTTTTTTTTTTGAAGGAATAGACAGTTCTTATGTACTATTTTTATTATAAATTTTAGACTTGCAAGTACAAAATTTATAATCTTATGGTATAATATATATCTCTCTTTGCTAGAAAGAGTTTAATACAAGACTCACAATTGTGACTTATCTGCCTGAGCTTCTTAGTACCACTTAAGAATATAAAAAAAGTAAATTCAAAACCTATACTAAGCCTTGAATAGCATCTAGTTACCTAAAGAATTTGTTTATCTAATTATATAAAGATACTGTAGCCACTATATACATGTGGTGTAAATTATTTTGCTGTTAACTCAATTTCCAAAATCCTCAAAAATAATTGCGTCATGACTCAATTATTTATATGTTTT